CTTACATATGTAAGGCAGGAAACACAGCCTTATATGGTGTTTTTGGGGTGGTAATTATGCTAATCTCCTCTCGTGTGCACGAGCAGCTGGATAGAAAATGTGTAATTTACGCAGCTCATTTACGCACGTTTCCTGAAGATAGAAGAGTTTGTTGAATCTGCCGTGACATGTTAATACGAACCCTTTGTACGAACAAAAGTAAGAGAAATTTAGGAGAAGAATACGAACATGTTCTTGCATGAGGCCCAATGTATCCAAGGTTCACACTGCAGGTCTTAATGTTCAGTTCCGATTTTTTGAAAAAATCCTATCTTTTTGTGTGAACATTCACATTACATTTTAAATGGGTCGGATTTGAAAAAATCAGATTTGTCTCGTTCAGACTGTCATAAAAAAATCGGATATGAGTCAGATGGGTCAAAAAAATCGGATATGAGTCAGATGGGTCAAAAAAATCGGATTTGGGTCGGATTTGCCTGCAGTGTGAACGTAGCCCAAATTCGAAATAAAAACGAACACCAGCACAGGCTGAGCTGCAGGCGTTTGGTCCGTTTGAAGTGAAGTTTTACAGCGAGATTCAACAAAAACCAAAACTAACGGGGAGAGAAATGACAAGAAGTGTAAAACGACTAACAAATACACAGAGCCGAGATGTAAGACAGACAACAGAAACATCAGAAATGACAAATGAGCACAAAAGAATGAAGAAAGAGGAAGACAGAGACGATCTGTGGAGTGAAGCTTTTTTTTGTTTTTTTAGTCACCTCATACAGTTTGTAAATGAATACACAGCTTTTACTCAGTTGCTTTTGAAGAGAAGGTGCTGCTTGTTGATGTTTTCTGGATGTTAATTCTCACACGTGTGTTTGGATCTGATGGTGTCCCGACCGCTGACGCAGCTCAAACTGCTGACTGAACAACAACCACTCATTTGGCTCACGTTTCAACACGTTTTAGCTCCGGCCTTCAAGGAACAAACGGCGATTAAAAACAGCACCGATGAAATGTGTGTTAGACCAGGGGTTAAGAATGATTACTTTTCACTGATTAAAAAGTAAATTGTTTGCCGGGGAGATGTTGCTTTCCATTTAAATGTTTGTTTACTTTTCGAGCAGGAGAAGCAGGCGGAGGAGGGAGGGTGTCGGTTTTTAGACCTTTGTAATATTCCATCACATTTTTTTTATTTTGACATGAAATTAGTCGGAACATGGAGAGAACCAGAGCARAAAACTGAGACAAAATAAACCCCGAACAGAAACAGATTTGTGTCTGAGCCGAGGGCAAAACAGAGTCTGAATCATTTGATCATCTGCAAGAAGAAAAATCTTTTTAATCCTCCAGAATGTTTCAACAAGTGACTCCACAAGAAAAACAACAACAACAACTCTGGCAACACAGAACAGAAAGTCAGGAGCTAGGAGGGATATAATTRTAAATAACTAAAAAATATGTAGTTCCCTGTGAAAATGCATTGTGTGTTTAGAGCTAGGGCTGCCACAATTAATCGATTAATCGACGACTAATCGATTATTAAAATAATCGAT